TTATACCCTTCTGTCCCTACTCGCATCTAGAACCTGTTCCAAAGCACTCTGAAACAGTTTGAGTAACTTTAGAAAACTGAACTTAAGAGCGAGGTAGCCAGCAAGAAAGTAGAAGAGGGGAATAAACCAGGTTTGATCACATACAGCTGGAACCTTACTTTGAATATAAGCAATACTTGCTTCACCGTAAGAAGGTCTGTGTCACTCCATCCAGCATTTGGGAAAAATAATAGCAGCGTATGGAACAAAGATCTTGAAATATATGTATGTGCTTTATTTAAAGGAATAAATAAACTATACAAAGAACTTTTAATCTTTTCAAAACCGAAACACTTCAGTTCTGAGCCTCCAGAGAGCTAGCTTCATCAATTTTCTACCACAGCAGAAGAAATTCACCTTTTAGAGTTATAAGTATAGCTTTTTTTGTCATCTTAGAAAAGATTATTTTACAAGTAATTATGAGCTGTGAATGATTCAATGAAAATCACATATCTTCCTCGCACAGCAGGTTATCTTTGTACCTTATATCTGAGTAGGCTTGTATCTTCTGAACTTTGATATCTGAATCCAAAACATTCAGCAATACAGCCAGTTGTCTCACCAGAGTGTCCTTCTGCTGTTCACTCAGCTGTCCCACTCCAACTTGCAGAATGAGCTCCACCAGGCCATTTCTTTTGGGATCTGACAGAAAAAAAGAGAACATGCTATTCTTTCAGAGCCTGGAAAATATTTCAGTACTAACTGAAGACAACTGTATTTTCCTGCATAAGACCCATACCCCTTATAACCCAACCCTTTTGTGTTCTTCGAAAAGTACTGAAACAAGCATGGTGGGTCTAAGATAGCAACCCAGCTTAACAGTTGGAAGAAAGCACTTCAGTGTGTACTTCTGTTCAGCATTAACACATTTCTGTGCAGAATAGCAACTTCTGTTCCCCTAAATGCTGTCCTCTTAAGGTCAGAGGTAAGCACTAGGTGAATCTGCTAGTTATCTACTATTGGCTACCACCCACAAAAATGGGAGGCAAAGATGGACTCGTATGGTAGCATGCAAGTCTGTAAGCAAGTCTAAACGAGGATGGTCAACTTCAGAAATACCAAATATGTTTACGTTCACAAACTGAAGGTTCTGTTAAATAAAATTTGGAGTTCTGGAATGCCTTGCAAACAAAATAAGCTTCACAAATATCCAATGAGAATCCTGAGCCAATTATTGTGACTACATTCAACAATAAAGCATGGAACAGAAATAAAATTATTTTCCAGGAACCAGACAAGAAATCTCCAACAGACCCATGATTTCAGGCTCATTTCCTGAAACCTCAACTTATCCTTCCAGCACACAGGCACTTATGCTGCATTTGAAAAATAAGTCTGCACATGACTAATACCAAAACTATGAAAAGACAATTTAAAAAACCCTGAAATTCTTTGAGGTTTTTGTCCTTTGAGATGAAAAGAAGGAAAACAAGCATAAAAACACACTTTCAACCATTAAACACACAATGGCAGCATTTGTACCTAAACTTAATGTTTAGCTCCCATCTCTTTCTATTGCCCAAACTGATTAACAACCAGGAAAAAGAAACAGAAACGTAATGAAAATATTAACTAGGAAGCATAATATTTACTTATTTATGCTTCCAGTAAGATAATTAAGATTCCTGACATGTCTAACACACTCAACCCTATTGAGAGAACAGAAGAAGGTAGGGAGAGACCCATTTGCTTTATGTTTTGACTTGAGAGAATCTTGTCGACATTGAAATAAGTGAAAAGGAGAACAAAGATGAGGTATTCACAACGTATCGATGACCTTTTAATTGTCATACCAGGCCGCACTTCAACAGTTGCTGAATCAACATCTGAGTCTCCTTTAGCATCTGTCACTTTCAAGTGAAAAGTATAGGTTCCTTCCACCAGATTAGTTAGCTGCAGTACTGCTTCATGGTCTGAGCCATGGATCACATCCTGGAAAAAAAATTAGTACTGGAATGATAACAGCCTCAGAGAAAGTTGCAGGTGTGACTATCAAGTAGGGTATCTGGTATGACGGTATGAGTTCTTGCTTTGCTTTTGGGATAAATGTGACCTATCCACAGTTGATAGCAAAATAATACAAATTTGGAAGTGACACTTAATGAGGGTGTCTGCACAGTATCAGTATTTTAAAACCAACAACAACAACAAAAAAAAAAACCCACAAAAAACCCCAAACCAAAACCACACACACAAAAAAAAACCCAAACCAAAAGCAAAACCACAACCCAAACAAAAATATCCCCAACCCAAACCAGGCAGAAACATTCTCAAGTACTCATCTGCTCGAAAATCTGAGACAGGTACATTACTATTTCTCAATTTTACTCTACTATCCTTAGTTCTACTTTCTTCACTCACAAATTACTTTCTTTCCTTGGAGTCCATGTATTTTCAGATATCACTTCTGCCAGCTAAAGCTCTTCAAATTTTCTCATACCCTCATGTGAATTGCTTCTGGAATCTTTGTTATCATTTTGCTGTTTCTCCTTTCCTGGTTCTTACCAATTTGCCACTGTTTTCCTGACTGCAAAGAGCTGTACACAATGCTTTGTGCAGACAAGCAGAAGAAGTTACTGCAGTTACAGTAGCTGACACAAACTTTATCATGAGGTACTTTTGCTGTCTGCCCACCTCGAAGAGCAGACTAACAGACTCCATTACCCTAATGACCCAAGCTATTCACTGTGGTCTGCCAGGCAAGGTGTTTGCAGATCTAGTCCCAAACACCATTTTTATCTTAAACTGCAAGTTTCACCTCACCTGGTACCAGACACAATTCCTTAGTCTTTATCAGTACTTCTTGCTCTCTCAGACCCTTTTGATTTTGGAGTATTTGGATTTCAGAAGATGTTTCTCTCAGCCACATTAGCTTGGTACTATCACCAATTACTCCTAAAAAGACACAACTTCATTCTTGTGTTTCAAGTCTTTCCCAACTAGTTCCACACTGCTGGAAGTCCTCTTACTTAGTCACCATATTCTGTTGCTGTACCGAAAACATCACAAGCTCCTTGAACCAAATCATTAGAGAGAGCAGGGGAGACAAACCAGAAACAGACACCATGCCTCAGAGCATTTTATGAGTCATACCTGCCTGCCCTCCTGCAGCAATGCTACATGCATAACCAAAGAACCAATTTGACTTGTACAACCTTCAAGAAACTTACCCCAGCTGCTGGGCTTTGACCATCCCGAATCCACAAATATGACACGATCCCCTGGTCATCAGCAGACCTTGAGCCATCCAAGGTAACAGAGTTATTTGGAAGCACTAGAATATGTTTCCCACCAGCATGCGCCCGGGGTGGACTGTTGTTTTCTAGCCATAGAAATAGTGGAGGAGAAGGATTTGCTTTCAAAACATGCAAAATGTGACATGCCATTGCCAATACACCCACACTGCAATTCTTTACCCAAGGATTACAGGCAATAACAACAGAATCTTGTTTAAAAGGTACAGGGAAAGGATGAGTGGGCATACAGAATTTGGCTCCAGGATTATTACAACCTGACAAAAGCAGAGCTGCACCATGAGGAAAATACCAGTAAGAGGTACTACCCAAAAAGGTCTTTTTCAGAAAGCATTGTGGGGTGCTCTACTTACAGTCTCACAGTATCTTAAGCATCAGATCTCAGTCAAGCAAAAAGATTTTCTGCCTATTTAGAAGCACAGCCCCGTACGAGATCACTATGCTGGCCTCTTCCCATTTTGAGAATCACTTATAACCTAATAGAAGCTTGTGTAAAGTCTTGTATCCTCACATAGGCAAATGTTAATCAGGAAACTTAGAGTAAACCCAGTTCCCAAATGCTTTTTGCTTACCACTAGCACTGAAATTAAGGCACGCATTGGGAGTACAGCCAAAAAACAATAAAGAAACATGAACATATTCTCTTCCCAGAACCCAGACATCACTGAATTTTGTTTAAAACACAACTGATAAAACAGAGCTCCAGGAAGCTGTGACACTGAGTGAAATACCTTACCAGTCTGAATATTAAATTGGACATAAATAATTAAATTCTGGACAGATCTCCAGGGCATTGGCTGTGAATGTTCTCTAGAAAAGCATAGAGTTCTCTGTGGTACAAGTGACAATCTTGTCTCTTCCAAATAAACCAGTTGATTAAACTTGGCTACTGGACCACTGAATATTTTTAATATTGAACCTGTGACTGTTGTCAGCACATACTGTGACTGCACTTCACAGTGTGAATGAAACCGTGAGACACATTTGGGCAGAGCTGTTGCCATGTATTTCTGACTAAACGCCTAACTGAAACTCTAAAACAGTTAAATCAGTGATGCACATGGGTAAAACTGAGTCTCTCTTCTCCAAGATGCACCTGGGTTGGAGCAATCCCAAGCATCAGTACAGACTGGGTGGAGACAGTACCGAGAGCACCCCTGAAGAAAGACTTGGGGGTGTTGGTTGATAAGAAGCTCAACATAACCTGGCAGTGCACTTTCAGCCCAGAAAGCCAACCGTGTCCTGGGCTGCATCAAAAGGAGCATGGCCAGCAGGTCAAGGAAGGTGATTCATCCCTCTACTCCATTTTCAAGAAGTCAGCAGCTAAGATTCTAACACAGCTTTATTATCATTTCATATATGTTATAGGTAACATACTTGCAGAGCCAGAGTACATCACTCCCCTCAAGAAAAAAAACAAGGTATGCAACAGAAAGCCAAGCACTTGAACAAACAAGATATGAAATGTATTATGCCACCTTCTTTAGAAGGAGGTATAGGCCTATGGAGATTGCTCCATAAGGAATAATATGAGGCAAAAGATGGTTGGATTATCACCACCTGCAAATTTATGAATGCAACATAAATCAAAGTGATGAAATCTGTGAGGAGTACCCTACTGCACCTCTGTCAGAGGAATGAAGCTGGTGAAGGGTCTAGAGCACAAGTCTTATGAGAAGTGGATGAGGAAACTGGGATTGTTTAGCTGGAAGAAAAGGAGGCTCAAAGGAGAACTTATCCTCTCTACAACTATCTTATAGGAAGCTGTAGCGAGGTGGGTGTCAACCTCATCTTCTCAAGTGGCAAGTGCTAGGAAATGGCCTCAAATTCTGCCAGTGGAGGTTTAGACTGGATATGAAAGAAAAAAAAAAAAAACCAAACCAAAACCCACAAAAACCAACTTATACACCAAAAGGGTTGTCAGCCACCCTTGGAGGTATTTAAAAGATGTGTAGACCTGGCACTTAGGGATTGGTTTAGTGGTGGATTTGGCAGTGCTAAGTTAACGGTTGGACTTGATGACCTTAAAAGGTCTTTTCCAACCTGGGTGATTCTGTGATCTTGTACAATAGGTATTATTCTACAGCATGCTTGTTGGGAGGGGAAAAAACAAAACAAAACAAAAAAACAAAAAACCCCACAAAAAAACAACAACAAAAAAAAAAAAAAAAAAAGAGGGAAAAAAAACCAAACCCACCATAGCAACAGCTTACCTATATCAAAAACCCCAAATAAATACAGGTGTTTTAATGTTAAGTTTTTAAGTGGAAATTGATATACTCCGAGACCTCACTTCTTACATGTTACTTAATACCCACAGTAAAATTGTTTTTGTGCTCAAAGCTTAACTTTAAAACAATGTTTCCATTTTATTCTCAATGTAATAGACACACCATGGTAAAAAATAGTATTTTGGAGCATTCTTATGACAACTAATTCTGCATATATTTAACTTTAAAAAAGCTTGCAGTAAGTGAAGTTAATGCTACCAGTCACCCACAATACACTTTACCACAAAATAGCAGTTAACTCTTCCTGAATACCCTTGAAACATGACAACCAAATATATTCTGTCAGTGATTAAATTAACTGCCAAGTTGCCTACTGTATTCTAAGAAGCAGCAACTAGGCTTACCTTCCTTCACAGTAATAGATAGCACAGATGCACTGCTTAAGCCCTGTTGGTCCTTCACGGTCAGCCTGAAGCGATAGGTACCAACCTGAAGACCAGTCACAGTTGCTATTGCTTTGTCACCATTTTCCATCTGTACAGAGCTTGGTCCACTGAAACAAAGCATCCCAGAAAACAGAAAATTTAAAAAGAAAAAAATAATTTGTTCTTTCAGTAGCGTTGATCATGCCATTTGCTTTTACGTATATTGTAGTTTTATTGCCCCTTGTAAGCACTGGTGATTAAAGAACTATGAGACATGAGTTTAGTTCAGAGAATTAATAAATCCATTTTTTTTCAAGACAATCAAAGCACCTGAGCATTCCATACCCATTTATTAGAAGAGTAGAAAATACACTCCAGTTCAACCTCCCCACTGTGCTATCTCATGGGACCATACAAACATAGTTGCTTTAAGAGCCACTCACAATATGTACAGGCTGCCAAACACACCTTTTCCTGTACCATGCATGAGCTAATACCTTGTCCTTTTATTAAGGATCAATTAGTTTTGCACATAAGCGTACAATTAAACTTTTGTAAAACATTTTCAATCATCATTCAAGAGTGTCACCTACTATCGAAAGCTCAGGTTTAACAGATTGTCAATTTATTATTCAACGAACAAGTCACTGAGAAATCCTAGTTCTAAGCACTGATGGGAAAACTTTGTATATTGCAGGAGGATACCCAAACCTGTTAGATGCTTTCTAACAGGACACATGGAAGTTCCTGTCATTTTTGCTTAACTTTACAACAGTAAGCCTCAAAATGACACATTGCAAAACATGGAAAGTTTATGCTATCTCTGCCTAAGATAAACTTAAAATTCATATCACCCTAGTACCACCTGAGCAGGAACATCCTCAAAGCAGTTCTCCAACAGTCTATCACCCAACACAATGACGTAAGAGGTTCTGGCACCCAATCACCTTCACTTTGTTCTTTATTCTACTGGAGATTCATAAAATCTCTAGATACCTGATATTTTCCCAGTGATAGAAGACAATGCCTTGATCATCCTGGCTTTTGCTTCCATCCAGTGTAGTGCTTTCTACTGGGAAGGTCAATTCCTTGTCAGGGCCAGCCACTGCTACTGGAGGACTATTATTTTCTGTAAAAAATAATACTTAGTGTATGACATTTTCTAGGTAGTTACTGGCACGGACTGCCAATCATAACAAAGATTTTACACAGAATATATTACAGATTTGATATATTGGCTCAAAGGTACTAATCACAAGTATAATGTGCACAAGCCAGCAGAAAATACTAGGTGGGTGAGACCAGCTCTGCAACAAGCCAAATCCCACAGCAAATACTTCCCTTTCCTTACAGTCATATCTGAAAGTACATGCGCCCAAAATTCTCCACTGTGCTCAATGCATCATATGAAATGTTTTGTAACAAGAGTAGTGGGGTATTTACTGGTTCCACTACTACTTCAAAACCACCAATACAAATATGGGCCTCTGCCCTTGAAGAAGATACTGGCCTCTGCAGATTTAGTGCAGACACATATAACCTATTATTCTGTTTTCAACCTATGCTTTTGTGGCATGGTAAAACTAATAATGCTGCTGTTTTCCTGAATATTTATTTACCCTTAGACCTGACTTCAGCAATAGCATATTTCTAGTTCCACACTACGATAGGTCTAAAAGACACCACCATAAGCTGTACTTCCAGTTCACATTCTTGATTTTCCCACATTTACTGGGGGGGGGGGGGGGGAGAGACCTATCGAGAGGTAGGGGGAGGGGGGGAACAAAAAAAACCAAAAAAACAACCTTCTGTGAAGTTTTCCCAGATGGGGTCATCTACAAAAAGATGTAAGCAACAACAGGAAGACAAAATGTTGCCCCATGCTGCAATGCGAGACCTTCAGATTGGCAGAACAGGCCACTTTGGATGCAATAGGCAAATACATTAAAAAATTAAAAACTAAAAAATAAAAAATAAAAAATGTGTATCTTCATAAAATATCTCATGAGTCCCAGACCATTTCGGCCCATTCATCGCTCAGTTCCCAAATCTAAACAAATGTGTGAAAAATGCAGCCTTTGAAAATTCCTTGCTTGATGCTTTTCCCTAGAAAGTACAATGCAGTTCTAGTGAGAATTCAAACTACACAAGGATTCTCAAAGGAGAACTGCAAAACAATAAGGAAACTGTGCAAAGCACTAACTGATACTCTGACCAACTTTGCAAAATAGACTTTGTAGTCTGTTAGAAGAGCCCCATTTTAACTTTCACATAGACACTCAATCACATCCCTGTGCAGGTTGGATTACATAGTCGGGCCAGCGTAAGCCCTCAGGATCACCACCTGGACTTTCTATGACTCTACATTTGTTTTAAATGTTTGCTTTGACAGAAAATGGAGGTGGAAGAGTCCTTGAGGCAGGGACACAGGACATTCAGACTGTTATCTCAGTGGTGCAATGCAGGGAGATGATGTATTCGAGGACAGTGCTAAGACACCAGGCTGACCACCCCTGAGGGACCCAGACATGCCTGCAGCTGACTTACCAGGCTGTACGATCAGTGTGACCTCAGCTGTGGACCGCTGCCTCGCAGAGTCTGTGACAGTCAGCTGAAACGTATAATCTCCTTCCTGCATTGCAGATAACTGGAGGTACGGCGTCCGCACTCCCTACATGATGGTTATAAAGACAGAGAGTGCAAGATAAACAGAAATTCTCATGGATTATGAAAGGTCTCACAGAGCAAATATGAAGAAAAAATACAATTCAATTCATCAATACAGTGTTTGAGCAAGCAGTTTAAGCATCTTGTAGACAAAGAGGAAACTGAAAATTTGATGCACAGATGTGCACATTCACTATTGCAACCATCCCTATCAACCCGGAGAAATATTTATAGACAATAATCTTTAATCTCTTCTAGTATAATTGCTGCATTGTTTCTGAACCACAATAACTGTGAGACACATGGGATGTTAACTTTTTCAACTGGGAAATTAAACACTGATGGAAATTACTATATCTTACTCCATTTCCTTAGAGATATTTTAAAAACCAAACATTATGACATTCTTTAATATAATATTTATAAAAACTGTTAAATGCAAAACCAAGCTTGGCTTGATCCCAGCCAGACAGGCTTATGGAAAAAACATATTAAACAACACTGTCCTGAGTATACTCTTCCAGCAGTATTAGTTGGTATCTATTATAAGCTCATAAAATAACTGGGCACAGTTATAGGTCCTTTTGCTAATAAAATGAGCATTTGTGACATGTCTCTCATGAGGAATAACAAATGGCAACACAATTAGGTGGTTGGGTTTTTTTACAAATATGATAATAAGAACTAATGATTAACTAACCAGGAAAGGTACTTCTTAAATTGCACTCTAACCATGGATACCATGTAACACACCTGAGACCAGCATCCTCAGCTTTAGGAAATGATAAAGATCACTAGGCTTTGAAAAGAAACTGGAAAATGCTCTTGCACTTCCACATTACGTACCCAATGAATCCACCATTAAGTATCTCAGTCATTCCCTTCTTCCAGTAAGACTGCTATAAGATTGAACAGCTCTTGAAAACTATGAGTTCGGCTTGCATGGATGCTTTTGGAGAGTCTTTGTCATGGCAAATGAACAAAAATAAGCCATTATGCTAGAAGCTCTTCCATAGTTTTCTAATTACCTCTACAGTATAGGCTTGCATCAATATTACTCCATTCCTAAACAGAGCTACAAACTGATCTCTTTCAAGTTCTGAAGGTCTAAAGCATTTGCGATATCAGAGAAATTAGGCCTGAAAAAACGGCTGAGTTTCAACTGCCTTCATTACATTAAGTACCTTAACTGCCTATAGGTTTACAAGACTCTCCAACTGAGTGCAAGTTCACTGAAATTTTTTATTAAGTTTCCTCAGATTAAAAAGCCAACCCAGACATGAAAATAATAGCATAAATTCAGTTGGCCTTCACAGGAAACCCCAGTTTTAGTGAGCAAAAAAAGAACACCAAAGAGAATGGCTGCACAACACTGCTAAAGTCTTGCCATCTTTCACTCACATTCTGAGTCGTACTTTCTTCCAAGAGGAAGTCCTACAATAAAATCCTGACCATCCCCTACATTCCTGCAAAGCCAGTTTTCAGCATGTCCAGCATCTCAGAAGATGGAAACCTGTGGAGCTCTTGGAGCTCTAGGGTCCAAGGACAGACAATGTGAATTTGGAAATCTTTCCAAACCACCAGGGAACAA